CTTGGAAATAATGACATGAAAATGAATCAAAAATTGCACCAACGCTAAAATGGAAAATTTTGATGCAGATTTTTTGAGAATCAAATTACGAGTCTTCGGAGGTATTCCACTTTGAAATCGGATAAAATTTGGTAAAGTTATGGACTTCAAAAGTCCAGTTATGGGCCACCTTTTAACAACACATCGGAAACTTGGAAATAAATGACTTGAAAATGGGTCAAAAATTGCACCAACGCTAAAATGGAAAATTTTGATGCAGATTTTTTGGGAATCAAATTACGAGTCTTCGGAGGTATGCCACTTTGAAATCGGATACAATTTGGTAAAGTTATGTTCTTCAAAAGTCCAGTTATGGGCCACCTTTTAACAAGATATGGGAAACTTGGATATAAATGACATGAAAATGGATCAAAAATTGCACCAACGCTAAAATGGAAAATTTTGATGCAGATTTTTTGGCAATCAAATTACGAGTCCTCGGAGGTATGCCACTTTGAAATCGGATACAATTTGGTAAAGGTGAGGTATGCCACTTTGAAATCGGATAAAATTTGGTAAAGTTATGGGTCAAAAATTTGATCAACGCTAAAATGAAAAATTTTGATGCAGATTTTTTGAGAATCAAATTACGAGTCCTCGGAGGTATGCCACTTTGAAATCGGATAAAATTTGGTAAAGTTATGGACTTTGGAAGTCCAGTTATGGGCCACCTTTTAACAACACATCGGAAACTTGGAAATAATGACATGAAAATGGATCAAAAATTGCACCAACGCTAAAATGGAAAATTTTGATGCAGATTTTTTGAGAATCAAATTACGAGTCTTCGGAGGTATGCCACTTTGAAATCGGATACAATTTGGTAAAGTTATGTACTTCAAAAGTCCAGTTATGGGCCACCTTTTAACAAGTTATGGGAAACTTGGATATAAATGACATGAAAATGGATCAAAAATTGCTCCAACGCTAAAATGGAAAATTTTGATGCAGATTTTTTGAGAATCAAATTACGAGTCTTCGGAGGTATGCCACTTTGAAATCGGATAAAATTTGGTAAATTTTTGGAGTTTGGAAGTCCAGTTATGGGCCAGCCATGTCCGTCTGTCCGTCCGTACGTTTTGACGCTTGAAACTTTCCCAAAAGTTGTCTTTTTATTAGAATATAAGTCGGAACGAGCCGGATCGGACGACTATATCATAGGGTATATAAACTTCGGCTTGTCGAAGTTTGCTTCTTTTCTTGTTTTTTTTTTTCATTCCATTAATAAGGCATCGTTATCTGGCTATTGGCTTGTGGAGACTGTTCTTGAACTTAATCAATTTTTTAAATGTTGTCGAGCCTTACCATCTTTATTCAATCAAATAACCAATCCGAATAAGTGTATGGGAGAGATAGTAAAATGAGATCTGGAGTACAAAACACGAGATAAAAACCAAAACAATAAACTTGACTAGAGATAAAAACAAAAATTTCCTTTAAAAAAAAAGCACCAAAAACAAATATTATGAGAAATATTACAAGTAGGTTGTCGTTTTTATTTTGTTAGCTAGTGTATGTGGTTCTGGTAGCACTTTCATTAACTGATACATTTAGGTACAGTAATCCTTGGCTTAAATGTTAAAATTTATAAAAATCATTAGGCAAGGACCATCTCATCCAATTCCCAATTCTAGCAATGATACTAGAGAACTCAATATTTTAAGGAATTTTCCTAATGAAACTCTTTTGCCAAAAGAATTCAAAATAAAGCAAAGCTCGCTAATTCTGAATAGACAGTCCTTTTCAAAGTGGGTCTATAAACAATATGGTATTTTGCTTAAATAATTAATATCAAAAATCATCTGTGTAAAAATGGTTAATATCAGGGAACGAAACATGAACCTAAAATAGCCGCAAAAGCAATTGAAATATACCATTTGGTTACTTTCTGGATAATCGTTTCCACTCCCCAATAATATTTATATATATATTCTTGATCCAACCACAGAGATGATAGAGCCGAGTAATTTGTTGGTAAAATAAAATTAACCGATTAACGCTTCTGTTTATTATTGGTTTAGTAGGAAAGATTGTTGACGTCGTAGACCTCTTTGGCGCTGCAGAGGTACTTGTAGCTGGGATTGGTGCCCGTGGTGCACTTGCTGGCCGCCGCCTTGGGGCACGAGCTGTACATCTTGATGCCCAGGACGTTGGTGGCCGCGTAGTTGCAGGCCAGGAGGAAGGCCTTGTAGGATTTGCCGGGCACGGAGTAGGTGGCCGCGGCACAGCCCACATCCGTATTGCGATCGGCCACCAGCACGGTGAAGTGGCCAATGGCCGGGCCCTGGTAGTTCGAGGGATAAGCGTCGATGTAGCTCTGCTTGGTGTAGACCGCCTCGCCGTACCACATATCGACGCCCCACTGCACATAGTGGGTCACGTTCAGTGGATCGTAGTAGCTCATCCAGGCCAGATTCTGGCCGGACCAGTCGAAGGCGTCCGTGTTGTGGCATCCGTCGTGCTTCATTGCACAGCTCCTCACGTTCAAACCGGCCAGGTAGGCCAGCTCGTCGTTCCACTTGATGGTGGCCATGCGGCAGGCGGCACTCAGATTGGCATTCAGTCCTCCGGCGATGATGTTGCGGTACTCGTTCGTCCTGTCCACCAGGGCCTGCTTCTGCCCGCTGGTCAGGCTCAACAGGCTAGCATCGCTGGGGCAAGTCGAGGCCCAGGCCTGCAGAAAAGTATACATAATATATAATTACATATTTATCTATTTTATTATTGGTTATTGTTATGGGTTATTATTAAAAAGTTAACTTCGTAAACTTAGGAATTTATCATTGCAATGTTAATTTTTCGTGAGATTTGGGTAAGCTTAGGAACTTATCATTGCACTGTTCATTTTCATAAGATTTAGGTATTTTTCACAATTTTCTATATCATTTTGATTTTCAAGTGGGCAAGATAAATATTTATTGCTTCAAAAAAGAACTACATTTAGGCGTTGAACTTTCAAATGTTTTTTCTATGTTTAATAAGGTATAATTTGTTTTATCGTTTTGAAGAAGTCTTGACAACTCGAGTTTATTTCTTACACAGATTTGGAAATTCGACTGTAGTTTTACTTTTAACGTAAAAAAACATATTTATAAAATAATAGTTTAGATACAACTATTCATTGAATCTGATTCAATTATGTTCATATTTAAGAGAAACATATCTGTTGGCATCTAAAGAGAATTATTTAATAATAACAAAAGCCACATTTGTAAATCAAATACAATATTCTTTGAAAATAATATTAAGAATATGGAACATAGAAAAAATAAGGATTATTTAGTATAATTTTAGTAATAGATTATTCATTATATAATATATAAATTTATTTTTTTTTATAAATATCATTTTTTCTTCAAATTTGTTTAGTTTTCGAAATTTCTTAGCCCAGATAAAAAAAGGAAAGTGGAAGGGACTTCGAAAGCATAATTTATATAAAGGCAACAGGATAGCTCACCCCATAATTGTCGCATCCCAGGTTCTTGGTGCCGCCGCAGCTCTTTTTGCAGTAGTCCGTGGCGGAGGCGATGCCAAGTGCCACGGAAAGGCAGACGATGATCACGGTGTTGCGCATTTCTATTCCAAGATCTGATTGCTGGCCTTTTCCGACGGGCTTCGTGCTTTTATGGCTGCTGAGTAGCTTTTTATCAACATTTGATTAAATATTTACCGCCATAGTGTCTCATTTGTCCCAGCCGAGTCTGCCGCCCCCTTTGTGTGGGGTGCTCAAATATGTAACGGGTGGTTCCACTCCACCCCACTCCCCCCAAAAAGACGTCATTCGATCAGCATGATAAACAACCGTGTCTGCGGGAACCACCTGATATTTCTCCACTGATTGTTTTCGAAAGTGACAAGATTTTGTGGGAAATATTAATGAGTAACGCAAATAAAATCAGAAAAAAACAAAAACCAGACGTTCTTTTGTTTAATCTATTATTTACAGCAGAACACAACACCCTCAAAAAAAATGGCATTCATTATGGAAAAACCCCATGATTAAATGGTTGTCAACAAACTAACAAAAAAGTTTTGAATTCATTCTTAGGATGTTTAAACAACTATTTAGAAAATCTACTGTCGATGTGTCAAACCTAAAATTAAAAAATGTTAGCATACTTTTTCCAGTCTTACAAAAATGCCTTAAATGATTTTTGACCAAACAAAATGAAACTTTAAGACATATATACTATAAGTAATTCTAACCATCTCTAAACAAACATAGTCAAAGGCCTCGTAGCTATCACTATGCCTTTTATGTTAGCTTTAGTTTTATAAACTATTCTATCTTTTATAATAAATAAATAAAATAAATAAGAGTCCCAATGAGTTCGTTTTGTTTCCTAAGATCAAAGTTGTTGATGCCAGAAGAGGTTTGTTAATGCATTGAAAATATGTGTTTAGGTCGTAATGGGGTAACGAATGAACAAAGTGCTTTGAAAATTGGCCCAAACTAATGCAAATAAAGAATATTTTGAAAATGAATGAAACAGTTTTCAACCACCAATGTTCGTTGTTCCTTAGCTAGGACAGAAATATGAATAGCATCCCTCATAAGTACACATTGCAACAAATAGAAAGTCTGGCACGTGTCGTCATGACCCTCCTCCACCAGTCAAATGTTAGCCCAACTGCGGAGCAAAATGCAAAACAGACAAAAGCCAACAGATCAAGTGCAAAACCAACTAGCCAAGACTGGGAGTGTGGCGCACATATTTGCCCAGCTGCTACGAGCACCCTTAAATTGCAAAATAAAAGGCTTTGATTGTTGCCAGGGAAATGTTGCAAAAAACTATATTAATAATAATATTTATAAACGATACGCATCTGCATTTTTATTTAATTTTTATTCGCACAAAAAACCCAAAGGTTGTCGTTATTATGTATAACAAGAGAGAAGAAAGAAGGTTTCCCTTACCAACGAAATAAAAGCCATACACATGTTTATATTTTTGTATATATATTTTTTTCTGACATATTTGATATGCTGACATTTTATGTATTTCTAGTAGGGTTTTGTTCTTATGCAAACAGGCCTGTTCCACTTTCCATATCCGGAACAATCTTACAGATGAAAATTTCTCTAACTGTTCCAATTTTTAGTTTTAATAGACATTTTTCCAAATTTCTTTCCGCATTTCAATGCTTACAAATTTAAATCAAAACAGAAAAATAGAATTTTCCAGAAAATTTGATAAGAACTTTAATTTTAAAATGATATTTTGGATAAAATAATAATAATAATCAGTTCTAAACTTAAGAATTTTAGGGGGATTTAAGTGAAAAATGAAGTAACTTTTTTAAGATTTATTTTATGCTAGTTAATCATAAAGGGACAAACTTAAAGGAAAGTTCGATCAAGTCTTCTATTAAGTTGCTGAATTCGGAACAGTCCTGATCATGCAATGTTGCCAACATGATAATTGCATTTTAAAATTCAAAATGAGTCGACAATTGGCCATCAAAATTTGTATGTCTGTTTATAGGGCCTTACCCACCATTATTTTGTGTAGATATAGACAGATGTCTGTCATTGCATATAATATTTAATTCTTTACCATTTACTTTCTTTTAGTACAGAAAAATAAATATACTTGCACACCGTTCTCTAGTTCGAACTTCCTGTCTGCCTCTGTGTACAATCATATGAATGTGTGTATATAGATATTCCAGCTTGTTCTCAATTTCATTTATATGTACATATATATTTGATGTATAGATCTGCGCTATTTGTGTTTATATTTGCATAAGAAGTTTATCTGTGGGCTGTTTGCAGTTCTTGCAGTAGCTGTGGTAGTTGCTTTTATCGTTTATCTTGTTGCCTTCGTGTAGTTTAATTAATAATATTTGGCGCTACTAAGGCGACTTTATAAAGTTCACACACAAAATATGGATTTGTTTGTTTACATTTTCTTATTTATCATTTGCACAGATGTAAGAGATTTTGTTTCAGTTTTTTGCTTGGTGTTGTTTGGTTTTGGTTTCGGTTATTGGGGTCGGGTCAACAATATCAAGAATATTTTGTCTCTGCATCTTAAGTTCCTAGTAATTGTAAATTATATTCATATACTTTCTTCTATCATTTCGAATATCCTATGTACAGATCTTACAGACGAATGCACTGAATATAGCATAGCAAATGAAATTTGACAATTGTGCAGCAGCCAACAGAGTGGAGTCCACTTTAAGTGACTCCTTCTAGCACTCTGGAACTTAAACTAAAAATTCGCAACATCATATTTGGAATACAAAAGCTAAGTATAAGCCAGTTTGCGGTTGAGCCCAAGAGTAGGCAACATAAAAAGTCAAAGACGCTTGGCGCGGAGGTCGAAACAAATAAAAAAAACGAAAGGAGGAGTTACGTATCTTTCACGTGGGACTTTAATATGATTATCCGAATTGCGTAGTCTCAATCGATGAGATTTTTCGGTTTAAATTTCACTTCCAAATTCGAATTCATGGTGGCGCAGTCTATGGGCAATTTATAGCCTTACAATAATATCGGAAAAATATTTATAACATTTTGTTTTATTTACATCTTGTCATGCATTGGTTGTGGCTTCGTATGAATGGCCAAATTGTTGCTTATTCGATTATTAAAATGATACATATACACATATATATTAGTACATTAATAACATATGGGACTGGACGGGGAACGCCTAACTGCCATTCCCCGCCCTAAGTAAGTCCTTAGGAGGACTAAGCGCACTAAATGATGAATTCATGGATTAGCATTGGGTATCTCAAGTTGCGGCTAAATATCAAGATTAATTTCGATTTTTTTCACGCGGTATAGTAACTGGAACGCTTAACTGGGCCAATTGGCGACGAGTAACCAATGACTACGTGTTTTCTTTCAATACATATAGATTTTCTTGCATATACTATATACTATACACTATATAGGTATATATGAGTTAATATCTACTGGGCATGATCTAGCCACAGTAAAGTTAAACGGGCTTACATCTAGGGGTGCCATAGAGCAGCATTAAGTGCCTCTGCTTCTTCACATACATAAATATATATTTATCTGTCACCTATTCTAGATTTAGTTTACTTTAGTTTAGGTTGGTTTATTGTAAATTATTAGACACCATTTGCATATAGCAATAACAACGTTTGAGTGTTTAACGCTCCCTGCTCCTTCACCAACTTTCAATCTTTACTCTCTCAGCTCCTCTGCTGACTGAACCTGAACCGGTGTCAAATGCGATTGGGCCTGTATTTGCAATTGAGACTGCTGATGCTGCTGCTGTTGCTGCTGGTGTTGCTGCTGTTGCTGGTGCTGCTGTTGCTGTTGTTGCTGCTGTTGCTGCTGATGCTGTGCCGGTGAGGAAGGCTGTCCAAATTTGCTGGAGATCTTGTGCGAGGCATTGACAATGGCCAGCTCGTGCTTGGAGTCCAGGTCGCAGTCGTAGAGGCCGCTCAGCGAGTCCAGGCTGAGCAGGCGGGAGCTGGCCCGGCTGGACACCGAGGTGTCGTCCACATCCGGCGCGTTATACAGCGAGTTAACGTCCGAGAGGGCGCCCTCGGCATCGGTGAGACCGGCTTCGTTCAGCAGCGAGATGTTCTCCAGACCGGGCTCATCCGTGATGTATCCCGTGGACTCGGCTCCACCTAACGTGATACCAAAACATTAGTAATTTTGTAGAAGAATGGCTAAAGGCTTTGTTCTCACCTGTGGCTTCCTCACGGCAATCGTCGTCCGACCACTCCGACTGGCTCTCCAAAGGATTGGAGTCCATGGACTGGTGGTTGAGATGGGCCGCCCCGTACTTTAGCTCGTCGTTTATCACATTGGCCTCCAAGCCGCGCATGCTGCCATTCGTCAGCGGCGCCGCCTCCCTGTGTCCTCCGTTTCGGTGGTTCTCCTCCTCCTCATCCTCGTCCTCGTCGTCGTCGTCGTCCTCCTTTTCCCCCTCCGCATCGGCTGCAGCCTCCGCCCGTTTGTGGTTGAGATCCGGCTTCTGTAGGCGCTTCTGCCGCACATCGCGACCCACTTCATCATCCTCAAACTCCTCGTCGGCCAGGTTGTCCTCGGTGTCGTCACGCTCCTCCTGCTCCTGCACATGGTTGTAGCGCTGCTGTTGCTGCTGTCTCTGTTGGTGCTGGTGGTGATGGTGGTGGTGGTGATGGTGGTAGCGCTGGTGGCGCTGCTGCGACTGCGTCTGCACCGCTCCATCCAGTCCGTCCAGGCTCTCGTGGCTGTACTGCAGCTCCTTGGAGCGCGGTCGCTGGCGATGCGTCCTCTGCTGCTGCTGCTGCTGCGTCTGGGGATGCTGCACGTGGTGCACATGGCTGCCGTTCAGCTCCTTCGCTGTGTGCATCTCCAGCATGGCCAGCACTCGCAGCTGATTGCGGTTCTCGTGCAGGATCTCGCAGGATTCCGTGTCCGAGGTTTGCCTGCAATAGTCACATTCGCTCCATTGGTTAAGGTTGTTGTATTTAATTACAGGGAACTACAACTAAGAGTATTTTAGGGCCACCCACCCACACACCGGTTATGAAAGCGGCGAACCTACCACCATATGACATGGAATGGAAGCTGTCTGTCGTCATGGTCAGTGATGGGAAAGATACCATAGCTAGTTGGGTGTTACAATTTGCCAACGTTTCTTCAAAGAATATATTCAATTTGCAAACGACAACAGCTAAAAACTTGTTATTGGTGCAAAGGTATTTAATATGCCATCTAAAAACAATAAAGTTTATATATTTATTTAATCTTCATTACCTTTGATAATGCTCGGACATTAGTTAAGTTAGAATAAACTACAAAATGTACAGAAGAAAACCTTAAGAAATTGTGAAGAAGAAAATGACTGGTAGATATTCCATTGTCAAGGAACTCGACTGGCATTCGTATTTCCCTTGTTAAAATCAACTTTAATAATTTAAAAAAAGATATCTAAGGGTATACTTCATTCTTTGATCATCCATTATCCAAAGATCATGATTTTTCGTAGACAATTTTTAATCGTCCTTAAATTCTTTTGGCTATTTATTTATTGCCTTCCACCTACCAGGATACTTTTCCCATCACTGATCATGGTCTACTCACATTTGGCTTGACTCCGAGGGATTCTTGTTGCGCGTTATCTCCTTGATGGCTTCCAAGCCCACCGGGTGCTTGGCAATCATGAAGCTGTTGCTGCCCGGCAACTTGCCGCCGGCCAGGAGCTCGTGATCCACATGTTGCTGCTGCTCCGCCTTGTGGTGGCTGCTGTTGTTGTTGCCACTGTTCGAATTGCTGCCGCTGCCGCCGCTGAGATTGCCATTGCTGCTGCCGCTGCCGTTGCCCGCCGCCGATCCTGATCCCGACCCGGATCCCGATCCGGATCCCGCAGCGCCATGTCCGTTGGCGGAGCTCAGCTTGCCGTTGCTGAGGGAGTAGCTCATCTCCCGGCTGCCATTGCTGGCCGTGTGATCCGTGGTGGAGATGGCCGTCGCCGTTGCCGTCGCCGTCGTGGTCGCCAGGCAACGGGCTCGCGAGGATTCGTTGAGCAGGCGCTGCAGCTCCCGCTCGAAGGGCGACTTGGTGGCTATGGCCACGCCCGTTCCGGCGGCCGCCTTCTGATAGTCGAAGCTGTTGCAGCTGTCGCCCTTGTGCTGCGTGTTGCTGGTCGTGTTGCTGGTGGTGTGCTGGCCCTGGCTCTCGGTGGTGGAGCTCAGCTCAAAGTCGTGGGTGAGCTGGGCCATGTCGACCACCGGCGAGGTGGGGTCCACCTGGATGTCGCAGGGATAGAGCCACTGCAGCGGATTGACCAGGCCGCCGGCGGGCAAATGGTAGCCATTCCGGTGCAGGTGGCCGCCGTTGAGGATGCGCGGCGAGTCCTCGTCGCCTTCGCCCTCGCCCTCGGTGGTCTTCGAGTAGCTCTCGTCCGAGCTGCTCATCGAGGGCGAGTGCGGGCGCGAGCTGAGGTCGTCCGTCGAGGACATGTCCCGGCTCTCCTCCAGCTCGGCCGGCAGCTTCGGCAGCGGCTTCATGTACGTCCTCAGCGCCGGCTTCGGCGGCAGCTGCGGCTGCTGCGAATACATGGCGTACTGCCGCTGTGGATGCGCCTGTTGCTCCTGGGCGGGATGTGGCTGCTGATCCTGGGCGGGATGTGGTTGCTGCTGATGCTGCTGATGATGCTGCTGCGACAACACGGTGTGGGGAGAAGTGTAACGTGGTGGCTCGTACTTTGGCGCATGCTGCATGGGCATGATCTGGGGGCGTGGTTAGTCGGAGATGAGCAAGCGAGAGAAAGATAGATGTGCGGGCATGCAAAGAGTGGACACAGAGAGTTAGACACACGGTAAACACAGATATAGATATAAGGAGTGGATATTCGGGGCAAGTTGGTTGGTTGGCAAGCATCAAGAACAGACTGGCATGTACAATTTTACTTATTTTCATTTCATACCTTTATCTAAAAAACTACATTATCTAACTCTTTAAGCAGAATTATAAGCTTGAGGTTAATAAAACGGTTTCTTTGACCTTTCAATTAAAATGAGTATCCCTTCAAGCTTTAGAAATTGTATTATGTCTTAATATCTTAGTATAAATCTTCCCAATAGTTCGATTATAATATTTTTTGTTATTCATTTTTCACTCAACTAATTCACCTTATGAATAAACTGGTTTTCCGAGAAAACATATTAAACGTATTAATAAATATCGTTAACGTAAAAAACATTACTTAAACTAAAACCATAAAATTATAGGGCTCAGCCTAACTTAACTTGTATTAAGGAAAATAAAATTGTACTCTGTTTTTTCAGATTAAATAGCCTCAAAATATTTGTATCCTTGGGTCATATAATTCCTATTAAGTTGAATTGAACCGACTTTAAAACAAAAATTTGCAGACAGAAACTATTGTTAGAAATTTCTAGAGAGTTTTTTTTTTCTGAAAAAGTTAACAGCCTACTTTCAAATCGATAGTTTTTTAAATGTAGGTATCTCATCCCAAAAAGCATTTTTGTTTTACATACATACAAGTCTATTCTGGTTCTTGTGTGTTATTTACGAATGGGATGGATATGGGTCTTGGTTTGGGTCTGGTTACTGGTTCTGGTTACTGGGCGCTTTTTAAGAGGCACTTGGAGGCGGGACAAGGCGGTGCTGGCTGTTCAGAGGAGGATCTCCTTGCTCCAGAGCAGGTGGTCAGCGTCTTCACTCACCTTGGCTACCGGCGCGACGCTGCTGGCATGCAATAGCGGCTCGCTCTCCCGGCAGTGGCCATAGCCCAGGCTGGTGAACGATGGCGGGTGCTGGTTCTGGCTCTGGCTCTGGTTCATACTCAGATTCAGATTCGAATGGAGGTGATGCGGTGGATAATGGCCATGCTGGTTTAGGGGCGGCGCATAGGTGCGATCGCGATCGCGATCTCTATCTCGCCGAGGCATCATGAAGCAGTCGCCGCCGAGCACGCCAGCCCCCACACCTACACCCACACCCATTCCCATGCCCATACCCATTCCCAACCCGCCGCCCATGGCGGATAGGTCGAGGCTGCCGTGGTGCGGCGGCAGCTGCTCCATCTGCGGATGCCGGCCACCGGAGGTCGGGTTCTCAATGATATTAAACTCGCGCAACATTACCGAAGGAACGGGCTGATGCTGATGCTGGAGCTGGAGCTGGTGGTGGAGTAGGATCTGGTGCTGCACTGGAACCCCCGCTGCTGACGGGAGTGGATGCGAGTGCGGGTGCTGGTGCTGGAGCTGGTGCTGGTGCTGGCTCTGGAACTGGAGTTGGTGGTGCTGGGGCTGGAGGGGAACCGCCACTGCAGCCGTCGGTGTCGTCGTGGCCACCATGAAGCCACTGTGCTGCTGCTGTTGCTGCTGCTGCTCGCCATTGTGACCGTTGCCGTTCTCCCGGATATTGGGCAGTCCGCCGTTGGCCATGAAGATCGGCTGCTTCTGCAGCTTGCTGTTCAAGCGTTGTTGTTGCTGCTGGTGCAGGTGGTGGTGCACCGGAGGCGGTGGCGCCGGAAGCGGCAGTGGGTCGAGCTGCTTGTGCTGGTGCTGCAGCAGTAGCTGCTGCTCCTCGCCACCGGTGCCGGCGTACAGGTGTCCGTTCTCCTTCTTGCTGTAGGTGTCGGTGTTGACGCGGTTCTCCGGAAACTGCGATACCTTCATGTAGTAGTCCGGTGCGTGGAGACTCTGGGGAAGGGACATGGCGTTACGCACCTCGCCGTTCAGCGATTTGTTGCCACTGTCGCACAGAAAGTAGGTGACCATGTCACCTTTGCCCTTCACCTTAATGGTGCCGCGACATCTGCAATGGAATTTAATGGTTTAGAAACTTAAATAATAAAGACATCGAGCACACTCACCGGAACTCAAAGTGCGAGCCCACCAGACTGTCCACCACCTCCTGAGTGACTTGCGAGTAGCCAGGAACTCCGGTGGAGTCCATGCGACTGGCCACGTTCACCGTGTTGCCCCAGATGTCGTACTGCGGCTTCCGGGCTCCGATTACGCCCGCCACTACGGGTCCAATGTTGATACCTATAAGATACAGGAAAATGAAGGCAGGATAAGTAATGTTAATAGGTCATGGGTGCAGTGCCCTCAATTTCGGATTTTAAAGCTTATAAAGAGGGACCCCATTTACACAAAAAATAATACATTTTAGAAAAGCTTACGGGGACTTCAAATATTATTTTAGTTATAAAACAAAAAAAAAGTAAAATGTATATAATTTGGCAACTTTTTGTTCTTTATACTTAAAGAATGGAACGAGTTTGGACAACATTTTAGCTTCTTACATTTACTTGTCGTAACTGAAATACGAAATAGGAATAAAGACTTGGGTACTTACCCACGCGCAGCATAAAATTGTTGTACGAGTGACTGTTGATCTCCTGCAGCGAGTGCCGCATGGCCTTGACATATTCGATGAGCGCAGTCATGTGGCGACGTACTGAGTTGGGATCATTGGGCTGGATCTTGTACTCGGGAATGAGACCCACGACGGCCATATAGGTGCTGCCCACGGTCTTGATCTTGTCGATGCCCCGGAAGCGGTCCTCCTTGAGCAGCTCGTCAAAGTCCGCGATGATCTCGTTCAGCAGTCGGAGACATTCGAGGCCCTGATCGGAGCCGTCCATCTCCGTGTAGAACTCGTTGAAGTTGGGCACGCTGGCAAAGATGACCCCCACCTTGGCGTAGCTCTGGTGGTAGAGCTCCTGTACAGAGAAAAGCAAAATCGAATGTAAGTTCACCATATCCCGTCAGTTTTCTTAAATTTTTTACAATTAAGACAAATGAAACTAATTTTAGACAAATTGGCCACGCCATTGTCAATAAATGAATTACTAAATAATCTTGATTTTAAGTCTTTGTCAAAAAAGTGACCTAAAACCTGCCCTTCTAAGCTAATAACTTTGTTTACAGACATTGGATTTAATTGTGGTTTAATTCTCTGTGTTTTTACTTTAAAATTTTTTTTGCGTCGATGCGCCCTTTCCAAATTTTTATAAAATGGGTGTGCAGAAAAGTGCCAAAATACTGTACTTCATAACTTTTCTTATAGACATCCGATTTCAAAGTGGCGTACCACAAAATGATTGTGGTTTAATTCTCCAAAATTCTTTGTTTTTACTTTAGCTTTTATTTTTGGGTAGATTTTTCGTCGTTTTCAATGAGGTAACCCCTTTCCAAATTTGCAAAAAAGGGTTTGCAGAAAAGTGTCAAAAAACTGCACTTCCACGCTCATAACTTGCCCTACACACTTCCGATTACAAAGTGGCGCACTTCAATATGATCGTGGTTTAATTCTCTAAAAATCTGTGTTTTTATTTTTGTGTCGATTTTTCGTCATTTTTATACCCTAGCAGAGGGTATTATAATTTATATACGTTTGGTCCCTAGTCTCTCTTTCAAGCTTTTGATTATATCTCAATGGTCACATCAATTTTTCTAATTTTGTCAGTGGGTCAATGGGCCAATGAAGGTTCTCACCATATTGTTGCGGAATTGTGCATCGAGGAAATGTGCAGCCACATGAGCGGGCAGCAAATTGTGCAGAATGCGCTTGTTGGACTCCTGCAGCACGTCCATCTCCTTCTTCTCCTGCGAGGCCTGCAGCTGCCAGAGGAAGTCCAGCCGGGCGGTGCCCTCCACCAGGCGGCCGTGCACCAGAATGGCAATCATGAAGATGGCGATGCGGGCCAGCGAGATCAAGTGGAGTGGAATCGAGGCGCTGCGGAGGGAGTAGGGGGAGGAACGTTCGATAAGGGGATTAGTGGATTAGTGGGACGACCAAAATTAGCGTTGACCTACTTGACCCGGTTGTCGTAGCACTCGAAGATGTTCTGGTGAGACAGCTCGATGAACAGGCCGTAGATGGTTCCCATGCCGAGCACCAGCAGCGATTTGAATATAATGGGCAGCCTGTGGACGTGGCAATCAAGGTTCCGCATTAGCAATGTAAGTTCGTTCTCACCCCCCTCCCTCCTGGGATGCACTTACCTGAGGAACACGGACACAGATAGGAAGGCAAAGGCGGCCGATAGGGACACGTACTGGGGCAGCGAGCACTTGCGATGAGAGTCGTTCTGGTAGGAGGCCGTCGCATTGCCCGAGCAGGGATGGTCCGAGACACACGTGAACTGGGTGAAAGCGGGGAGAAAGCGGTTCGTTAGTATTTATTCACACTGCATTTTTCGGCTGTCCAATTTGTAAACCTCTGCAGAGGTTAGTATAAATTGTTGGTCGGAAGTTTGCAACAGGGAACGAGACATATTCGACCCTAAAAAGCTTATGTACACAAGTGAATACTACATTTGCTCGAGTCCATGTAAGAATATAAAGTATTTAAGCAACACAGTATGTCAGTTTAAAGTTATATGCATAAAGTTTATAGAATACTCTAACTTCTTTACATTTAAGTCACATTGGATAGCTTAAAACAAGTTGTTATTTTTAAAAAAGTATTGAAAGGCAGACCAAAAAAATTACTAATAAGTGACTAATAAGTTGTGATTCTAACTAAAAGGTCATATTAACTTAAGCTTTCCGAAGCTAGATTCCGTATTTTGGTTGTTTCTATAATCGATACACCATCATATAGATTCCACGCTATCCATTGTTTTATTAAATTCGGACGACTGTATTTTACAGCTCCCATAACAGATACTTATCATTAATTTTGTTTTATATTTAATTTTTTTATTTTTTATAATAATTTCCATTACAATTTTGTGTTATTTTTGTTAAATTGTTCTTTTTATTTTAACTGTTTCACTTATTTTTTGTATTTACTTACCACATTCACTTGTCCCACGGAGTAAATGAGAATGACCGTGAAGATCGTGATGGCCATGCGCAGCGAGAAGCTCTCCGAGATGTCCCAGATGATCCACTTGAGGCGCACGGCGAGCAGGAGCATCAGGATGGCGCTCACCCAGATGAAGGCGGTGAGGAAGAGCAGCAGCAGGATGAGGGTGCGCGGCAGGGCGGTCACCTGGAGCGCCGCCCCCAGGATTAGCAGCAGCAGGGAGCAGCCCATCGCCGTGGTGAAGCCCAGGTCGAAGTCCTTGTGGTACTCCCGCTCCATGTCGCTCTGCCGGAAGCGCAGGGTCAGCCGGTCGACGTGCTCCGACTTGTCACAGTCCACCGACCGGGCATTGATCGCCTGGGAGAGGAATCGGTTCACCCGGTTGGTGGGCTGATGGTGGGCGGCCACCGAGTGCCGCTTCCGGAATGGCCTCTTGAACTTGTCCGCCACCTTCGACTGCGACTGCGGATGCGGAGGCGGACGCAGATGCGGATGCGAATGCGGGATGGAAAGCCATGCAAGAGGGAGCAAGAAGTAGAAAGACATTCGTTAGTTGTGGTTGTGCTTCCCGGACGCTTTCATCTTGCTGGATGGCTGAACTTGGCACTTGAACTGGCTGGTTGAGTTGAAGATTCAAGAAATAAGATTAAAGATATAAAGCTCTACGTATGTGCTTTGGGTATGTGGCCACGACTCACTACATGCTGTCAACTGAGAATTCAGAATTGAGAATTGTGAATTGAGAACTGAAAGGCAGCGAGCAGAGCTGGGACATTGCACCACCATGCATGCTGGGCAAGATTTGGAGGATGTGCCCGGAACATGCACTCCGGATGTCGAATGGTAAATGAAAATGTGCAGCTGCAGCTGGCATTTTTCAAGCGCGATGATGACACTGAACCAAAGAGACAACTTGGCCTAAGACCGGAAATGAACTCAGCTATTGATGTTCATCATGGTATACAGAGCCACCTTCATTTATCCTAAAAGCCCCTCTATGGCTATTTTTTTTCCAACTTAAAGGACTAAAATTAAACATAAAGAAAAAATCATCATGCTTTTTCAAAATGTAGTGGTAAATAATAGTAATAAATTGAATTTAATTCTACTGATATATATTAATAATATTTTTTAAGGTTCATTTTATATTCCTTTATTTTTCTTTCATTTGCCAGGAACTTCGTAATATATTAATTAACTTTCTAGTTCTACTTTTTAGATATCATTTTACTCTACGCCTTTGAAAACAACAACTGATATTAAATTATTTAAAACATAAAGAAAGGGGAAAACCTCTGCAACTCCCTCATATACACACTAAAACACATACAGGATTCTCTACTATTATCTTACATGTATCTAACATTATTTTGTATTTATTAAATATGTCTAGGCACGTTTTGGTCCAGTGTCTTTCAGCTGTAACAAAGCGAAAAGGAACATAACTAGAACATGACGAATTCTGGCCTGGAAGCCCTCCCAGAAACCAAATTCGACAAAGGACAATGGAACGAAATAACGAATGAACAAAGCACACTTATGAAGTAGTTACACTTAACACAGTTATTGAACGAATGTGAATGAACGAAACACAAATTGAAGGCCTCTTTAAGAGATTTAAGTTTTCATCGGGATGGCAAAAATATCAAAGACTCAGATGATCACTCAGTTCTGATAAAGAGACCTCGAACGAACGAACGAACGAACGATAGAACGCAGGTTGAACGAAAGTTTATAGAATGTTTTGTTGGCTGCTGCTCTGCTCACTTTATTGTTCTTGTGATTGTGCCTATGAATGCGACTAATCGTACTCGCTGTTGAGTTGGGATTTGTGCCTACGGTCACTTGAACACTGCCCCCACCGGCAGCGGCAATACCGGAAATACCGCCACCGCCATTACCGTCACCACCGCCGCCGCTGCCGACGACGCTGCCATAGCCCATGCCGTGCGGTGGCGGTGTTGCATGCAAGATCTTTTGCAGACGTATCACCTGGATCGGAGAAGTATACACAGTTGTCAAGTAAGTACTTATATTTACATTTCGAAAATAAAGAGAGAGTGTTTCTTAAGCTAGTGGTAAATTAAACAGTAGCAGATAGATAGAACGGTGAGTATAGTTAGGCTAAGAAATAATGGGAACGATGGAAAGAGGAGAAGAGGCGCATCAAGTGAAAACAAAAACCAACATAATCTTAACCAAAATCAAAGGTCGCTAGCAGCGGTTCAATAGCGCGGATACATAATGGGTGAGCATAATAGCATTTTAATATAAATTGTTTAGAAGTCCTGCGCAATCTACAGCAGCACCTAGTTTTGAGCTGTTATTTTGATTTTAAAAACCGATTGCTTCACTCAACCGAAACAATAATGAAATGCAGAAGAAATTTAAACATATTTAATAAATGTGACTATGAAAAAATATATTCTAAAGTTCCTGATAATAATCACAGACATTCGATATAAATTTATGGAATACATTTCCACTGACATCTCACAGAAATGAGTATCGTAAAGTATGCTATAAAATGTGTGTGTGTGTCCTTTTGAAGTGTTTTCGATGACTGAAATTGTAAAGAATTCGCAAGTCCGTCGTGTAAATACCACTGCTTTACACTTAGTTCAACACTACTGGCGACTCTAATACACAATTGATGAATATATTTACATATATATTTATATTTAATGACACCAAGTAGTTCTACATTCAAACTACACACAACATTCGCAATATGCGTTACACTACAATTGTTAGTAGATACAGCAGTACGAATAACAATACCGAATTTTTCTATGCTAAGTATACAATCTTATACGAGTATATATATAGGATATAGATACATGTGTATGATGCGACTACGAAACAAAAGAGCCCATAATATTTGGAAACGAAAAACGAGAACCGATCAAAAACTTAAGAGGAGCGAGGAAAAGCGCAACTGAATAAAATGGTTACGGTTATGTTATCGGTAACGAAATCGGGGTTCGATTGGTGGTATAAATACTTAGACATAGGCGAGGCAAACTTACCGCATCCTGAAAGAAAACGAAAGGAAACAAATCAAAGCAAGAAATGAAAAGGAGTCTCGCCGTCATCAAGCTACCCGCGACTATCTATCGGATCTGTGTATCCCTGGGCTACGGATACAGTACGGAAAATGAAAAGCACACCAAGCCAGAAGTCAAAACCACCTTCACCTCCATTTCCATTACCCATTATCCGACCCAAAACCCGCAATACACCCGGACATGCACTGAACTGGAGCTACGACATAAGAACAGAACAGAACAGAACCGAGCTACAGGAACACGCAACTTCCAACTTCCAACTTGCAACTCCCACCTTAAAACTCCCGCATCGTCTTTGATTGAGTGACTCTGATCTCCAGACCAAACACCACTTACCTTGCGCGATCCCTTCTCGGACACCTGAACGCTGCCGGCGTTCGCCTCGCAGGTGCTTCCCCGTGCCACGCCCCCGCCGAGGCCCACTCCAGCGCCGACGCCTCCGAGGGCGCTGGCCGCCGAGGGGAAGGATCCGGTGGCTATGTTGGAGAACGGCACGGGCTCAGAGAACTTGATCGTGTGCAGCAGCTGCATGACCACATTGGACACATTCCGGAACGAGAGCTTCCGACGACTGCCTATCGCCGAGCGCACGCCCAGCGTGTTGAGCATCAGCGGCTATAAAAGAGACGAATAGGTAAAATCAATCCAAGTTTAGTACTTAATATATGGCATTTATATATTGAAATATTATTCAAACGCTTAAAATCAAAATAATATCAAAACACTTTATCTTTTAATTCGAAACTGTGTATAAAATTTACTTTGACTTGATGAAACATGGTAATATATAACTAAAATATAAATTAAAACCGGGAATTCTTTTCCCGCCCTTTTGCTTAGTCTATCTTCAAATTTAACAAATATGTTATATTTTGAACTGATCGTTCTTAGGAAGGTATTGATCATTTTTGATTTGTTTTTAACTTTTAGAAGAGGCATCCGGATTCATGTTTTCGAAATTATTTGGTTTTCGAAACCGTTTTTCCAAATAATTTGAAGGAAATAGACTTTTTTATAACAAAATTCTATATTCGAAAAATGTCAAGGCCGAATAGTTGCACTTGACCAGGTTGCTAAAGGATTTTAAAAACAAGAATCCGGGCACATGTTATTCATGTTCAAAAATGATCAAAATCGCTTTTTTCCCAATACTATGGTAAATTGGAAAATTAATGTGGATATGTGAATATAATTTCATTAATGTACAAAAATTAAGCTCAAATTTCGTAGTCCATGTGAGGTGATCGCCACTGAATCTACTCACCTTGCGGCGATGTGGCGGGGGCACGATGAAGAATGTGTCCACGCCGTGGTCGCGTAGATACGAGGACCGCTCGTCCCCGTGGCCGGCCTCCACCTCGTACTCGCCGGACAGGGAGTCCAAGGTGGCGCGGGTCACGTGCACCCGACCGGGCTCCCCGCCCGACTCCATGTGGTTGGCCAGGGTGACGTCGTTCGACCACACGTCGAACTGCCACTTGCGGAGGCCCAAAACACCGCACAACACCCGACCGGTGTGGATGCCCACGCGCATGTTCAGGATGACGTCGGTGGCCTCCACCACGGTGCTGGGAACGAGGAAGAAGCGCTAATTAGATTTCAATTACAGTCAATGCAACAGCGAGATGTTGAAATGTGAAAATTAATTAATTAATTAGATAGAGTGGACTAACAGCGGTTACAAAATAATCGAATGAACAATTAAGCTTAGAGAGAGATACGAAACGGCAAGCTTTCAATAGTTTCCATTATATTATTACATGCTGCTTATTTTCACAAATTAAAAACACATTTAAGTAAAATTTATTACCCGCAATCAAACCTAATTGATTACTTTTTGTTTGCCATCAATTAATATGTGATAATTATATCAAATAAGTTTCGAGTTATTTTTCAAGTGTTTTCTTATCAGAAACGGAAGACAGACAATGGAATTATTTTACTAATTTATCAAAGAAGTTAAGACAAGACTCAAGTAGGTTGTTGAAAAGTTCGAAACCTTTGTCGATCATTGTATAGCGCATTCACAGATACTCACGCAATGGCATCGATCATATCGAGTCCCATTTCCACAGCGCATTTGGCGTGATCCTTCCGCGGTTCTGGCAAACCGGAGACACAATAATAACAGTCGCCCAGGATCTTAATCCGCAAACAGTGGTTGTCCTGGGGAAAGAGGTGCAGAACAAATATACAGATGTGTAAAGTAGTTGGACGATTGCCACAAATATTGTAATAGTAAAGCTTACAAAACGATGCTATACTTATGTTCATAAATGCATAAATGTTTTATCATCGGTCAAATTTAATTAAAATCTGATGACTATATCGAAAAGCTTTTACAGTGTATTTGGACCAACTTGACTTGCGAATACCAAAGACACTATTGTTTTAAAGTGTAACTGCAATTTTGACTTAAGAATCTAAAAGTATTAATCGAAACTAGTTAAAAACCAGCTTCGCTTTATGTCTGTCTTTTGGACATAAGAAAATCCCATATAAAACTAACGAACTTTCCAGTGCGTTAAAGTACACACAATGTTAGGAAATTACCATATGGTATTTAAAGTAAGTATGTATACAAATGCATTTTTATATTCACTGTTCAAATTTGATTGTAAATGTATTTTTTGTTTACCAATCCTACATCAACGTACAAGATAGGTACGTAAAATTGCAATTTGCTTAAGATTTATAGCTTTTATAAATCGGTTTTTATCTTTAAGTTCCTTTTATAAAAAAAATTGGTTATAATTAGTTTCATTAAAAATAGTTAAATTATACCGTATTATGAGCCCGGATTAGCCAACTTACATGGGCCAGCTGATCAAAGCGGCCAAAGAGCTCGTTGAGCAGACGGACCAGCTCCTGGGCGCTGCACTGCGAGGAGAGCACCGTGAAGCCGACGATGTCCGCGAACAGGATGCTGACGTTCTCGTGCTTCTGGATGTAGATGCGGTGGAACTGGCCGGCCACCGGCGACAGGATGTCGTTCTTCATCTGCATGGCCACGTGTTGCGGCAGCACCGACAGCAGAAGACGCTCCAGTTTCTCGTTCTCATCCTGGATCTCCAGCCGCGAGGCGATGCAGTTGCGCGTGTCGAGGAAGGTGCGCCGCTGGGCCCGCTCCATCATGATGTTCACCACCAGACCGGCCACATTCACGCCGATGAAAATGACAATGTTGGCGATCAGCTGGTTGTACTCCAAGTAGCGCAGGGCATCCGTGAATATCTTGTAGACGGTCAGGCTGATGTGCACCGAGGGCAGGGCGATGCCAAAGGCCACCGCCTCCCAGATCTGCAGCGGCATCATGGCGTAGGCGAGGAAGACCACGAACACGATCTGCCAGACGCCCTCGGCCATCACCTCCTTGGTGTCCACCGGGAACACGCTGCCCAGCGTCGGCATCGACACCACGCAGATGCTGGCCGTGAAGAGCAGGATCCCGTAGCACAGCGTGGGCAGGTGGTGGTCCTTTATCACGGAGCACTGCAGCAGCACCAGCACCACCGCGAACAGCCCGCACACGATCGCATTGAAGATGTTCTGGGGGTGTTTAGAGGGGATAAATAAAAGATATTATACCAATTGAAAATTATGAGTAAAACTAGGTCATCTATACTTAATACATAACCTCACTTTAGTTAAAACTTTTCTTATAGTCCAAATCCCTGACTATGGAATGCTACTCACTCCCTGACCTTAAACCACCCATATAAAAATGGTAAGATTCGCAGTGGTTTTTGGATACCTGTGTAGATATTTTTGGTGCTAAATTCTGAACTTCGTTTTCAAGTGTCCCGAATAGTTTTGAAAAAAACCTTAACTGTTAATCCAATCCGATTGATCTTCGTAGCTACACTATTTTTCAAAAGTATATAAACTTTTGTTACACCAAAGTACCTTATTAACTTTTTGCCAAACTAATATCACTTCAAATAGCCCTGAATCAACCATATAGCTTTAAAACTGAGCTACACTATTTTTCAAAACGGTCTGAAATGGACTTTTGACTAAAATTATGATACCCTCTGGAAAGGTATAAAAATATATTATAATTTGGGAAAAACCGTAATCTATTGTTTTGTTCCACATAACATAATTTCTAAGCTATATAATGAATTCCTCTTTCGAAGTCAGTAGACACTTTTGATACACCAAAGTAAGTTCCAATTACGAGCTGCACTACTTACGTGAAAGGTGGCCGCATTATTGAAGGCCAGCGACAGGGCCGCCATCACGCCGCAGAGGACGAAGACCAGGGCCACCACGCCCAGCACCGAGAAGCGCTGCAGCTTGAGCGTGTACCGCTGGTAGAGGCATTCCAGCTCGTCGTTCTCGAAGCGCAGCGTGTTGAGCGGGCGGCCGCGCGTCGCCTTCACGGCATGGTCCATGTGGTGGCGCCGCCGCAGCAGCCGCTGCCGAGCGGCTCCGCCTTCCGACGCCTGCCAAAGGGATTGGGGCCGCCAAGTTCAGGGGCTGCAATAAAAGAGGGGAGGTTGTATTAAATAAATTATATTTTTGCCTATAGATTTAAAATGAGCATTGCCTAAGACCTAGAAGGATAATACATACATGATTTCTTGTATTATATAGGGGGCACACTATAACAAGATTGCCTAAACTTAGTGTATGTAAAGTGTTGTACATGTTGAAGAAAAAAAAAAATAATAATTTATTTTTTATTTTTTATATCAAGCAAAACTATATATAAATTAGACAAAAATATAATGTTATACCGAAATGGTTATTCTTTGAAATAATTTTGAGACGCGTATAAAAATGTTGTAACAACTTGATAAAAATAAGAGATGAATTTGAGACCTTGAAGGAAAATGTTTCAAGAAAGATATGGCCTTGACTCATTTTTTCCTTAAACAAATGGGCTTTTCTTTGAGGTCATTGCTCCCAAATTTTAGGTAGTTTTAGTTATTTTTGATTGTTGAGTTCTTTTGTTTTGACAACATGAACCTCTTTCTGTTATCAACTTAATTGTTTATCAATGGAGAACCAACATTTGTGGTCTTTTTTAGTCTCGAATATATACTTTTTTAAGTATTGTTATAAGATAGTTTTCTTAATTCTATAAATACACATATTATTGTGAATTAAAACAGAATTTCAAAAGAACAAATATAAATGTAGTAATTTGCGTTTGAAACTTTCGAAACTATTTTCAAAGTGACGAAAACTATTGATTTGGCTGACTGACTCAATATTAAATTGTGTGAACTATTTAACGTGATTTTAGAAGGCATTTCCTCCCCGCAGTGTAAACGGGATTAGGTCACCTTGAAATCGCGCTGACGCTGCAGCATGTCAGTGGGGCGGCTTTGGAAATTGGAAAATTGGAAAATGGGAAATAGGAAATGGGTGTTTGTGCATGGCACGCAACCAATGGAGGGGAAAATGTCCACCGTCGAACAGCATCAGCATCAGCATCGACCGTCGAGCGAAGACCCACGCTACGGCGGAATCGTTTAAAATAACATTTCCCATTAGCTGAAAATATCCGCTAAAAATAAGTAAGCAGAAAAGCTGGCGTGAAATCAATCAATGTTCAGCTCAGCAAAATTTCCCACTAGCCACTGGCCCACAGAGGCCCACGCACTTGAGCAGGCGAAAATACACCGAGAATGGCCAGAAATCTTCTGCTGACAACGGTCTTTCACTGGCAGATTAATTGCGATTTGTATGCGGCAATCCGTTAAATTCATTAAAATATTATGCACAAATTCATTTTACAAATAAAATCCGTAATTAGCCGGCTTTAACGAGTGCAGCGTGGAATATTTGGCCGCTGCCATTGGATCGATGTCTATATTCGGCTATGCCCGAGACGTTAAATCAATTAGGCATGAAAACATTTATAGACATCGTGGAATATTGCCACACCACCGCTGTGCAGCAGCAGCAGCAGCCCAAAAAAATTAGCAGTGTGCGATGTTAGGTGTGTGTTTCAGCGATGAGATATGTTCACCCTCTGATTTCACGAAGATAAGGTGTCTCCGAAAGAGTTTCAATCATAATTCCATTCCATAACTCAAACCACCTTTGGCACGGACTAGAAATTAAGGTATTAATATTAGAATTAATTTGTCTTGTATTAATAAAAATATATTTAAAAATTAATAGTTAATTTAGTTCGGCTTATAGAGTCTTAGAGTTTGTAAATTAAAAAGATATTTTGCACCCTTTTAAATATATATCTATATACTCTTAAGCTGTTTGTTTCTAATATCTTTTTTCAGTTAAATTTTAAAACTATCATCTTAAGCTCTTATTTTAAGTCAGATAATCGAAGATAGATAGACAATAGAATAGAAAGACAATTTTAGGATACTTTTTAAATTTTATCAAAATTATTCAATCCTATTAATGACATTGAACGATCTGCGCCAAAAATAATTTTTTTTTATAATTTCAAGGGTATATTAACTTCACCCTGAAGAATAATCAACTGATTTTATTTTAAGACAGCAAAATGAGTTTGGCTATAAGTCTAAATCCTTTGGCTTCCATAGAATCAATTGGCCTACAAGCTTTAATCTATAAAAATAAACAGCCTTTTTCGTTATCCTACCCTGATCTCTAATCAATGCACTATCTTTATTTCATCCACTGATCCTGCCTAGATATTGGGATTCCCACTTAATGCCAATGAACTGTGCAAATTGATCCGAACTCCTTATGTGTCCCGTCCAGTTGAGCAATCATCCAGCAGATCGTGCAGAGCCTCGTGTTTGAACAGTTGCTCCGACGAACCCTCGACAATTAGACGTCAACATGGATGTTTCTTTTGTTTGTGTGGCAGCAGTTTGTCAGTCAGCCATTCAGTCAGCCATTCAGTCAGTCAGTCAGACAGTCAGTCAGTTGGCTTACTCGTTGATTCGCTGTCAATTTGTTTGCTCGCGCCGCTTGTTTGTTTGCTTATGTGGGCTGTTTGAATCATTTTTGATGTGCGCATTTCGAATTTGCATTTTCGCAGCGACATTAATATAATGAGACGTGAATATTTTCAATTTTACGTCCACATACTCGTCCCCAACTTAATGGCTTCAACCCCATCACCACCGACGACGACAGTGTTTTGTGTGGGCTTGTCCAAAATTCTATTTGCGGCACGCCAAGTGCTCAAGCGAATTTCTGAGTTATGCAAGTGTAAATACGAGCGGTTCGCACTGCAGGTTCAGGCCAGGCCAGGCCAGACCCACCAACTACCAACCAGCGAACAAAAAGCGAAAAAGCCAAAAACACACAACGCAACGGAAAAATTGTTGTCATTATAAATTCACGTCAAGTGGGAATTTCGTGCGTATTTTGGAAATTGTATTTATGTGTCCTACATAAATTGCGCGGAGCTTGTTGGCCGTTAGTTGAGATGTTATTTCCATCATTTCAGTCGCGGCTAAATTAATTAAGCTCGAATGTTATGAGTATTTTGTCCAGTTTCGCCGCGATTGACGAGTCGGCACGAAGTGGATTGCCAATGCTCAATAGATCGATTGAGGGCCAGCTGACACGCGCTACTGGGCCGCCTTCTGGTAATACTTGGCATCATCCATTCAACACAATACATTCAATACCCCTCCACCCTACTATCCACACACTTATCCCTCGAGAAGCGAAAACATGACAATTTCTTGTGTTTCTTTCTTGTTTCCGCTTGACAGGCACCCCATCGCCTCAAGGAGATCAGAGTCCAAAGAGGTTTCTTGCCAAGACTAGCCGCAACTGTGTTAAGTGAAAGGCCTTAACCCAGAGTGGGGGGGGGAGGTAGGTTGCGTTCCATGTCAATCAGCGAGGCCCCAGAGGAGATGGCAAGGTGGATAGATAAAATGCATCGCAAGTGAATTTGCCGCGATTTCTAGATTGATTTTCTGGCCCCAGCAATTGACAGCAATTAGGTTTGCAACACTTTCATGGGCTCCGCATTAATCGTCGTCATCATGGGAACTCATCATAGCCGCTCTCGCAATATAATCAATCAAATTTCAATTTCCAATTTTCGCTTTCGTCGTCTGGCGCCCGGCAACAAATTAAGGCAAAAAGCGATAGAAAACCCGATGCAAAAGCAGCATCAGCCAAATGACGCAAACAGGAATATTTAGCAAAGCAAAAAAAAATGAAAAAGGAAATCACAAACTGTACGCTTGTATGTATAGACATGACCATATCAAACGGTTTTTATGGCCCACTAAACTGATTGGATTCGGATTCATTTATAGTTTCAAAAGGAAAACTCCGGGAACTGCAGCAAATTAGGGGTGTGGATAATCCCAGTGAATTCAATAATTGATGATCTTTCATTATTCTATAAATAGTTTAGTTTGGTTCCAAAAAAATAAAGGTGGGGGCAAAACCGACACCCCAAACGTTGGAACCCATAAAGGTGCTTAGTTTTCTTCAGTATATAATTGAACTATATAGACGATTCATTTATGTGTTTTTTTCTTTAGCAATTTTGTATGTTGTTTTGTCTCATTCCAGACAACCAAAGAAAAATAAATAATTAAAAAGCCTTTCTTAAATAGCATTATTATACGAAATTCTTCTATATTTATGAAAGGTGTAGTTTGTTTTTATGACAGTACGGATTCTGAAACAGAGACATATAAGATATTCCTTGACAAAATGGATCACCTCCAAATTTACAGATTATTACAAAAACCCATCTATCAACCAGAACCAACCTGCCAAAGCTCACTCATCCGCCATGTGGGACATAAATACATTTTTCCACTCTGCCACTGTTTGCTGTTGCCAAAGGGAAAAGAAAATTGTATTAGCCCAAGTTTCATACTAAAACATTTTAATAGACAACAAAGTTTTTCTCTTTGGCCATTCATCTCAGTAGCGAAGCCGGTCCAAAAACTAATTATATTTGTACGTGTTCACTGTAGGTCAGCAAGCCCAATTTTCCCCTTTTTGCCCAGCGAGTGGGAAAGACAAAATCAATTAGTGGATCCCGTGCACATTTTTGCCATCCACTTTACCAAATAATTTATTACACTAGTTAACAAGAAAATAAATATGTAAGCTTTTAGCACAACTTTACAATTTTATTTTGGTTTGATCATTAAATGGTTAAAATGTTAGAAAAAAAAAAAAAAAAAAACCTTAAAAATATATATAAAATAATGGAATAAATAAAGTACAAGCCTCAAAATATTTGATATGGTTTTTTTAAGTTAAGGAAAATGTTCATCTCAGTTTTACAATGCACTGACTTAAAATACATTGTAGAAACAAAATTTCAGTCACAAAGAAAACTTAAAAAAAAAATGTATTTCTATTGTTTTGCCAACTAGTGTTATCTGCATCGAAAATGTTCTTTGGTCCTGCCATATATTACGTTTATTTTCTTGTTATTGCCATTTAAATAGGCCATCATGTTCGGGGTTTTGCAACAAAATTAGTTTAGCTGACCCTCCAAAATCAGTAAATTGAATACAGGCTGCGACATGCGGGCTTTTAGG